GTTTCAAGCTATTTGATCCACTTTGAGCTGAGTTATCGATTGTCAGAATTGTTTTATCGTTTGAAATCTTGAATTTTTGGAACATTCAGAATATTGAAATTTTAAAAATCCTAGAAACTTTCTAAATTTTACAGTTTTTTTCTTAAATTCCTTTTTTGGAACTTTCCATACAAATTGTGGATTTTTCAAAATTCTGAATTCCAATAAATTTCGAAGTTCAAAATTTCCGAACATGAAAACCTGAAATTCAGAATTTACGGAATTTCTGAAAAAAAAACTAAAATTTTCAATAAATCCGAAATTCCTGATCATATAAAAATTCAATAGCTTCAGAATTCCAAAATTTCCATAACCAAAATATTGAGATAAAAAAAATTCCAGGATTTTCAGAAAGTTTTAAAAAATTTATAATCGGAAAATTTTGATTATATTCCAATCTATTTTCGTGCTTCCAAAATACGGGTAATTGAATTGATCTCTTTGTCTTGTACCCCCTTATTACTAGAACCGTGCCAATTTCACTTATTCTCTTTAAAAAAGAATTCAAATTCTGGATATATAATTTTGTGTCGGTTTTCTTGCCTTGCCTCTGCTCTTCTCTGAGCAGCCCCGGGACCCTTCTGACACGACCAGGCACACAACTTGTATGTGTATGAGCCAATGGTCCCTTCTTCTTTCTCTCTTCGCTGTTTCTCGTCACATGAGCAATAGCAAAAGCATTCGAAGCAAGGAAAGAGGGTCCCTTCTTCTTCCATCATTCCCTACTTATTCTATCCAGAAGAAGAACTACTCATATTCCTATCCATCTACAGAGAAAGCCCGTCAAAGTGGTGTGTGTTATGCCGCATAAGTGAACTTCTTTTCGGAAGTTTTGGTTCATATCACAGCCAGCTTTGATGTGCTGTCTTGTATAGAATTTTTTGACAGGTTTGCAATGACATTTTGAGGTTGAATAGGCTTGGAGGTCCTAGAACATAATAATCGACAGATTTGAATTGTCCATGATACGATCAGAAGGTCTAGAGATAGCCATGCTACGATCAGATGGTCTAGAATGGTCCAGACAAGCAGGCTTTTAGATTTTCTAGAGGAAACAGCCCGTTTTGGCTAGGAAGAATCTCCTGGAAGATACAAGATGCGGATGGTCCTAGATAACTGTCTAGTACTTTGAAGGTCTAAATTTAGAATATTGGGGAGAGAAGAGTCCTGATTCAGGGCTGTCCTGAAGGTCAGACTACACAGTTCAGAAGTATTTGCACCCGTGTGATCTGAAAGGATTGGGAATCTGGAAGATCTATAGCTAGTGGGTTTCAGGCTACAGGGATTCGGTTGTACTGGTCCAATTTCAGTCTACTGGCTACCGGTAGTACTGTAGCAGTACTGTAGGAAGTCTTGGAACCTGTGTGATCTGAAGGGATTAGGCGACTGAAACCGGGGAACACCTAGCCAAATTTTAAGAGTTTTTAAAGAATGTCCCATCATTTTTAACCGGTTCATCTGATCGTGTTAGCTGGCTGAGTGCTTTCGGAATCCTTAGAATCCATTTAAAATTCACACGACGACGTTATCATCTGTCTAGTCATCTGCTCCTTGATGAGATAACACGACTAATCTCCTTCGTTTTCCAGTTCAAAATTCTAGATATGACAAGCAAATTGTTAGTTTATATTTTTGTTGCATTTTTCTACAGATGTACGCTAAAACACAAAAAAGAAGAAGCCCTAGGACCCCTTTCCAAGGGGCTTCGCGTCATTTTGAGATTCAGATTCAGATGATGACGTAGAGAGAGTGAGAGTTTAGTGCAAAACGGGAATTTTGGAAATTTGAAGTTTTTTCAGAGGGTAAATGAAAATTCTGGTCTTGATTCCCCAACTTTAAGGGTCTTTATAAGGGAAAAAAGTCTAAAAATCCTAAAAATTTCTAACTAAAACCCAATGATTTTCAGGCGCTGTGTCAAGTGATCTCCTACAAAACGATCCACAGTAAGCAATGGATTTTCGACAACTTCCTGCCACGATTCTCGCAAATGCTCAAGGATCCGACAATGCACGTCCGGAAGGTAAGAGGACTACCGTAGATAGGAGTATGGATGGATGGATGAGCAACAGCACCCGCATGCATTTTCTTTCCTATTCACGGGAAAAAGGAAATTCGAATTAAGAATCACAAGAATCAGCAGCCTGAGGCGATCACAAGAACATACATGAGCATTTGGAATCAGAATTAACTATAGAAGGGAACTTTGAGGAATTCAAAAATGCTGATTTCCAGCTAAAATTTTTAAGAATTCGCGGAAAAATCGAAATTTCAATTTGGCGGGAAATTCGGGAATTCAAAAAAAAATTTCGAGAAAAAAAACCATTTTGAACACAGTCACCCTTTCAGCTATGTTTTTAATCCAACCTGTAATAGAAAGGCCCCCTTAATTTTTTAAACATAAACCAATTTATCTTGGTTCCTGTAAAAGATCTCGAAATTGTGTCAACTGATAAATTGTTTATCATAAAATCACAAACATTTTATCAGTGGACACCATTTTGATATCTCTTATAGGAACCGAGATAATCGAGCTCAACGTTGGGAGCTCTTCTATTAAAGGTTGTACGCTTTTCTCTCCATTCAGAATAGTCATATTTTGTGCTGCTGCAGGATTATATATAAGACCACGAAGATTAAAATTTCCTGCTATTGCTCGGCTTTTGTTGTGTTAGAGTTTTCCATGACGACCAAAACATTAGCAATTTTGGAGAAAAAAAGGAAAATTAATCAAAAACGGTGGAAAATTGAAGATGAAAATGAGCCGAAAATGACATTTTTTGACTGAAAAATTGAGATTTTCGGAGCCATAAAATCCAAAAATTTTTAAGATTCTAACACTTTTGCACCCAGTCATTTTTGACTCCTGCACCACCACCCTATAACTAACCACTCTATCTCTCTTGCTTTCCTTTTGTTTCTTTCTCTTTCTGATTCCAAAACCAAAACCGTCGTGAGATTGCCCTAACCAATTTTTGCAGCTCAAGACATACTCATATAATGCTCGCAACCCATCCTCATCCACCACACATAATACTAATGGCCGTCCACTTGGGAATATAAGTGACGAACTTAAAAAATTACAGAGCGCACTGCACATTTTCGGAGATTTGGGACGAATGTTTGGACAGAAGTTCACTGAAGTTGTAAGCCTGGATCTTTTTTTGCTCGCTCCAATTTTTAGAATTTCCTATCAATTCAAAATTGGGAGGTACCCAAATTTGGTACCATTATGTACAGCTCGTCGAGATCTATGTTTTACAGTTTAAATCACGTTGAAGTCTTGACTTTGAAGCGAATTATGAGCTGATCTAACTTGGAGCTCAATTATCTCGGCTCTTTCAAAAGCTACTCAAAATCTGTCAACTGATAAAATATTGGTGATAATATGGTAAGGATTTTATCAGTTGACAGATTTTTGATATCTCTTACAGGAGCCGAGATAATTGAGCTCAAAGTTTGATGGTTTGGGTGGGCTTCTATCAATAGAAGGGCCCCCTAATTTTGGCCCGATTTTTCTCGTTCCCTGTTAACGATATCAAAAAATGGTCAACTGATAAAATATTGATAAACTTATAAGCAACATTTTATCAGTTGACATTCTGATATCTTTTAAGGGGACCGAGATAAATTGGGTCAAAGTTGGCTGGATTAGCTCATAACTCGCTTCAAAGTTGGAATTTCGAAATGATTCAACTAGGATACGGTAGATCTCGATGAGCTCTACAAAATAGTACCAAATTTAGGTACTGTAAAGCCAAGACCCTTTCGGGGGGCCCTTCTATTGAAGGGCTTTTTTAATACGGGTTTTACAATATTTTCGAAGTTTGATTCGATCTGGAATTCTAAATTTGAAACGAGATATGAGAGATATCCTGAAAAATCTAAAAATTCAGTTTTTCAGTTCCTCGTTCCTCATCTAATCACATTATCATGCGATATGACATGGGCGGTGCGGAAGGTGGCGTGTGAGGTAAGACAGACTACAAGGATCTAGGATTCTTAGAATCTTGGATTCACGGATTCTAGGAGTTATATGGATCTATGAATCTTTGGATCTATGGAACTATGGATCTATGGATCTATAGGTCTGTGAATCTATGGATATATGGATCTGTGGATCTATGGATCTATAGATCTATGGATCTAAGCTCTAGAATCTAGAATCTAGGATTGAGGATCTACAGTTTCGCCGAAGCACTTTTCCATACCTACAGTAACCCCCAAATGATTTCAGATCTTCGTAAAAGTGGCTGAATGTGCATCCCGATCCGTCCGTGCCGAGATCCTCTCTCCGAACTTTGTCCGCCTCCTCAACGATCCCAACAAATGGGTCTCATTCATCGCCTACCAACAACTCGGACCCTTCATCGCCCTGTTCGCCGACGGCAACATCACTGGTCTGTCGCTCTTCGAGGGACAAATCATCGTTCGTGAGCCATCTGCCCGCGGAGCTGAGGAAATCCAAGCTCGTCATAATAAAATCGATCAGATGATGGGAATTTTTCTTGGAAGCGAGAAATATGACAAACTTCCACCGAACACGTGGCTACCGGAAGCCGATGCGACGGAGGATTTCGAGTATCAGCTGGCGATGAGTGAGGCGCTGAAGGAGGCGAATACGGTGGCGGCCACGACGGCTTCATCGAAGACGCCGAAACGAGGAGAACGAGTCATGGATAGGTTAGTAGACGTCCTAGGTGGGCCTAGGTGAGTCTTAGGCTGTCAAGCTTGCTATGAGTGTGGCATAGCTCGCGTTTTTGTTCTAGTCTAGTACTTAGATCTACAGTATTGATGGCCTAAAAAATTATGACCTGAAAATCTAGCCTTGATAACTTAGATATCTACTGTACATCACCTAAACTACGTCTCATGGCCTAGATCCGAGCAAGCCCTTTAGCTTAAATGAGACATTTGGTTTGCTAGAATCTAGGATTGAACTTTTATAGGTTGACTTGAGACGGCTCTGATGTTCAAATCAGTGACCAAGACGACTATTATTTCTAGGACAAGCCTTTTCTTCTCCCGAACTCCTTGATGCGCCGATCCTATAACTCTTAACGTTTCAGTGTGATCTCCGGGATCAACAAAATGTTCGGACCATTTGAACGAAGCTCTCCGAAATCCAAAGAAGTCGAAAAGATCGCAGCCACCTTCTCGAGTCCATCAAAGAATCGGTCACCGCTTTCTCTACACGGAGCAGTCAGTTTGATGGATAAATGGAGCAAGCGGTCGAATCCCAATAATCCGCAGTGAGTTTGAAAGGAAGAGAACATTTTGGTATCAAAATGTACAGCGCTTTCTGCTGATTATTTTTATATAAAAATCACTAACGTTGTGCTGAAATTTGGTCCTGAAATATATCAAAATGATCAGCAGAAAGCGTTCTACAATTTGATACCGAATTTGGCACCCTCGAAAAATTGGAAATGTGCCAAATTTGGTTTCAAACTGTAGAGCGCTTCCTGCTGATCATCTTGGTATAATAATCAATGGAATTCAATTGAAATTTAGTCCGGAATTCCCGAAAGAAACCCCTATTTTCCAGACGCTTCCCAGTTTTCGACCCGACCAATACCAACACGACGTCTTCTTCTGGCGCTTCCAGCTCCACGGACGCCATCTCCACGTCATCATCACCCAAAGAGGAGAAGATGGACCAGAGTGGAGGAGGGACTGGAATCGCTGCGAAATGCAATTCAACCGACGATTTGACGAAATTGGGACTAGAAGATGATGGTTGGTTTTTGAACATTTTTTGTAGATTTTTTGTGTGAAAATAACTGGAAAAATACGACTTTTTTGGGCATTTTTTGGTCTAGAAAGTCAATTTTCCAGTCTAAAAGCGACCCTTAAAAATACCCTAAAATCTGTGACACGTGGCGTCGTTGTCTTACTGTAGTACGATACTTGATTTTTGCGTTTTTCGGTGGTGGTGGTAGTCATATTCTTGTTCTTTCTCTAAATCTATCTCTTCGTTTTTTAATAATTTCTTTAATTTCTTATTTTTTTTTTCCCTACTTTTGATTCTGAGTCTATCAATTAACTGTGAATTCTCTGATTCTCTATATCTTATCATCCTCAAGATTTTAAAATTCTAAATTCACAAAACTTTTAGACTACGATGCTCCGAAATTCTGGCTCCGCGTCACTCCGAAACCGCGACGTTTCAAAACCGGACATTTCGAAACTGCGAAATTCGCACGCTCGAAATTACTGGTTTCGAAGTGTCGCGGTTTCGAACTGAATGGTTTCTGAATGACTGGTTTCGAAGTGTCACTTAGTTTCGAAACGACCGGTTTCGAAATGTCGCGGTTTCAAAGTGTCGCAGTTTCGAAATGACTGGTTTCGAAGTGTCGCAGAGCCGACATTTTGGGATTTTGAAATTTTAGAGTTTTGAAATTTGCGAAAATTTAGATTTTAGGGATCGATGAATTGGGGAATCTGAAAATCTGAAAATCTGGTAACTTGGGAATACAGTAATTTTGAAATTTAGAACTACATAAATTTCAGAATCTGAAAATTTAGAAATTTCGGATTTCACGATTTTCAGATTCCAGGAATCTCAGGATGTTAGGATCAGACACTACAAGATTCTAGAAACCAAGAAACTCTAAAAATTCCTAAATTCAAGAATCAGCGGAGCATCGTTTAAGCTGAAAATTTCAGATTTTTAGGCTAGAAATTTCAGACCCTTCTAGTCCCCGTCATTTTTCTATGTAATTTTTGACCTATCACTAAAAAAGCTTCCCCGGTCATCTCATCAGCCTTCCTTTGAAATTCAGCACCACCACCACCTCCACCATCGACACCATCAGAAGAAGAAGAATCAGCAACGACAACGAATTCAGAAGAAGAATGTTCTCGAACGACGAGTCCACGTGGTCGACGAATCGCCACAAGTGCCTGGTCGAAGCTCGACATTCGTCAGAAGCTCTTTCTACGACGTCTCGGAGCACTTCCACCGTCAGACGGTGGTAAGAAGGCGTCGCTGAGCCCACGGTTGAAATCGCCGACGCGTAGCGCTGTGTCGCCGTCAAAATCCAATATTTTGATGGTGTCCAGACGACGGACCGCGAATATTTTCGATTTTGCTGATCCAGTCGATCTCACGAAACGATTGGGGAAGATGAGCGCGGTCGCTGCGGTCGAATCGACGGTCGAGAAGGCGGACGAGCCGGACGAGAAGGCGAAGGATCCTTCGAAGGAGGGAGGAATAGAATGTATGTAGTTGTGTGTCGCTTTTGGTTTCTTTTGATTTGCATGAAATTTCCTTCCGTGTGTCTGTGTGTCCGGGATGTCCGCATTGTCGTTTTGTCGTCGTTGTCCGTGTCTTATAGGAATTTAGGTATCTCAAAATTCTGAATTCAGATTTTCAAAATCTTCTCGGGGTCACTGAAAACCAGGAAATTTAGATTTTCAGAAATACAAAAATCCAAAAAATCGGAAAAATCTGAAATTCTAGATTTTCAGAAAATCAGAAATTGGGACACTTTGAAATTGTTATCCTGAAAATCTGAAAACTGGAAATTCTGAACTTCTGAAGTGCTGAAAATTGGAAATTCTGGAAATTCTAATATTTGAAGTTTTGAAGTTCTGAAAATCTAAATTTTGAAAATTTGAAAATCTGAAAATTTTGAAATTCTGATATTCTGAAAATTTGAAAATTTGGCATTCTGAATTTCAGAAAAATCAGGATTCCAGAAATTCAAAGTTTTAGAAACCTAGAATTCTTGTTTTTTTCTAGAAAAGATATTCTCGGCATACTGTACCTACGGTAATCCTACAGTAACCCCACCTCCACTCGGATGTATCATTCGTAGTAGTGACTCATCAGTTCCCTTCTATTTTCTCTCTAAAACTCTTTTTTAGAGGTCAAAAAAAAAATTATGACTCACTTTTTTAAAACGAAAATGTTTTTTTTTCAACAATTCACTAACATCTTGGTGTATTTTTTCCATTTTTCTGTTATCAGTTTTTTGGGTCCATTGTGGTTTAAATTACCGTATTTCTTCCAATAGAAGCCCGCTAACTTTGAGCTCAATTATCTCGATTCCTATACGAGATATCCAAAATTGGTCAACTGATAAAATATTGGTGATATAATAATAATAATAATAATATATTTATTTGCAATGCATGGGGAAAATCGATAGATAATTTGGCAAGCATTTTATCAGTTGACAGATTTGTGATATCTCTCAAAGGGACCGAGAAAATTGAGCTCAAAGTGGAAGGGGTTGGGAGGGCTTTTTTCGTTTTTTTACAAATATCAAAACAGTTTTGAGTGTACTACTAATTATGAAAAATTTTGTGATAATCATTTTTCGGAATTCAATCGACTACCTAAATTCTAATTTCCAGACATGAACACTTCATCTCGTGACACCTTCAACACGAAAGAAAACGATGGGGATCGAGAGGCTGATGCGAACGAGGAGGATTCAGATGACGATTCAGATGATTTTGACAAGTCATTTGTGGAGGCGGAGCACCTGATGGAAGAAGATGCTCCATTGACGATTGACGTGAAGACGAAGACGGAATCGGTTTCGATGGTGGACCTGACAGAGCAAAAAGCACAGCGGGAGCCAGTATCCAATGAGTTCTCTCTGACGTTTTGGTCGTCGAATTATGCCATTTCGTGAGTTTTTGAAAGTTTTCTAGGGCTCGAAATCGATTGGCTGTCCGAATATCACAAATCTAGGATCACTGGAGTTTGGAATCCTATAAATTTAGAATACCTGAGCATCAAATTTATAAGATTCCTGATTCATGAATTCATGGATTTTAGAATTCTTGATCTTCGAATTCCTGGATTCATGGATTCAAAGGCTCATGGATTCATGAGCGCATGGGCTCATGGATTCATAGATTTATGGGTTCATAGTTTCATGGATTAAGGGACCCATGAATTCTTGGATTCTTTGTTTCTTGGATTCATGGATTAATGGATTTTTGGATTCATGAATTCGTGAATTTATGGATTTATGGGTTCATGGATTTATAGCTTTATGGGTTAATTTATTCATGGTTTCATGGATTCAAGGACTCATGGATTCCTAGATTCTTAGGATTCTCAAGATTTTGGATTCATGCATTCATGGACTCATGGGCTCATGGATTTCTGGATTCAGGGTTAATTGGTTTGATGGATTGATGGATTGATGGATTGATTTATTCATGGATTCATGGATTCATGGGTTCATGGGTTTATGAATTCCTGGATTCCTGGATTCATGGATTCCGAGATTTCAAGATTAGTGAATCATGAATCTTAATAGCTGAACCCTGAATCCAAAATCCTGAATTCTGGATTTCTAGAATTCTAGTACCTTTCCATACTAAAAATGTGTCAATCATCGGACCCTGTCCATTTGTGGCGAATTTGCTTCCCCATCACTTCCCGCATGCATTTTCAATGAACCCCACTCTCACTCTCTCCCCCCAACACTTCTCTCCCTAACTTATCCCAACTTTCCCTTGCAGATCCATCGAAGATGAGCTCAAACCATTCGGCTCCTCCTCGTCATTCACCAACTCTCCCACCTCGAACAGCTATCTGGAGAGCCGTTTTGATGTGATGAAGCCACAAAGCGTCTCGCCGCGAGCTCGTTCTCAATCCTTCGGAGTCAACGGATCGCCGATTGCGTTGTCGCCGAGAAGGTATGAACTTGAAGAATGCCGCCAAACTTATATTCCCAAACTCCCAAGCTCCCCATTTTTATCGCTTCTCCAAGTTCCAGAAAAGCCAACAGCACATCCGAAGAACCCCTCCTTGCCTCCTCTCCACCAACCAACGCTCTTCTGGACACATCCAAATCGGATGACTCGATTGTAATGCTGAATACAGAGGAAAAGGAGAAACTGGGAATTCTGGATATCGACGAAATGAACATGTCCATCTCGTCAGACAACTCGTCAATGTACACAGAAGCTGGTGCCATTGGAGAATCCGACGTCTCGTTGACCTCGTTGGATCAGCAGGTCGCGTTTCCGCATGTGCCAGCGGATTTGGTTGAGTCGTACATGAAGGTGAGGGGTTTTGAAAGGGCAAGGCATGGGCATAACAGGATCTAGCTGTTTAAAAGAGCTACGGTAGCTACTGTAAAGGTACAGTAGGGAGCTCAGCTAAGACGATTTTGAGGCGATTTCTTTAGAGTTTCGTAAACTAGGAGGCACTCAAATTTGGTATCATTTTGTAGAGCTTGTCGAGATCTACATTTTACCTTCTGGATCAATTCGAAATTTCAACTCTAAGCCGAGTTATGATCTAATCCATCTTTAAGCCAGTTTATCTTGATTCCTGTAAATGATATCAAGAAGTGGTCAACACACAAAATGATAAGCATAGTATCAGCAACAGTTTATCAGTTAACCGCTTTCCGATATCTTTCGCAGGAATCGAGATAAATTGTGTCAAAGTTGGAAATTAAAATTGATTCAAAATCTAACGAGTAGATATTGAAGAGTTCTACAAAATGATACCAAATTTGAAGCGAGAAAACATACAGTACCAAAGTGTAGGACAATTTATTTCACACGCTAACCATCTTCTTTCCAGGTGATGGGTCCAAACGGACATACTTCTGGATCGGTTGCCACTGGAGACGAATCTCTGTGCGCTGAGATCTACCGACACTGTGCTCACAACTTCCCGGCGATCTGCTACACACTTGGACGTGCCGCATGGCCACGTCTCAATTTGGTATTCCGGAAGCTGGCGATGGATGAGCAGGCACGCGTCAGACAATCGATATCATACTCGATTCATGAGATTGCCAACATGCTGGGACAGCAGATCGCTGATGAGGACTTGTTGCCGGTTTTCTATGATTTGAGGTAGAACTGGAAGAGGTTTTGGATAGATTTGGGCTTCTAAATAACTAAATTCAAGCTAAAAATAGCTAGAAATCTAGATACTTGATCTTCAAAAAGCTTAAAATTAGACCGAAATCTCCCGAAATTTTGACTACTCAACTTTGACCCAATTTATCTCGGCTCCTGTAAAAGATATCAAAAATCTGTCAACTGATGAAATGTTCTTGATAATATGATAAATAATTTATCAGTTGACAGATTTTTGATATCTTTTAAAGGAATTTAGATAAATTGGCTCAAGTACAGTAACCCATATTTTCCTTCCAGAAACGACCAGAATGCCGAAGTCCGTGCTGGCATCCTGACGCATCTGTACGATTTTGTCAAGGTACCCGAATTCTAGCAACTTCTGATAACCTCCTCATTTTCCAGTGTCTCTCGCTTGACAAACGCGACGAGATGATTCTATCGCTGCCACAGTTCTTCCCAATCGGCGCTCAGCCAGGAAATCAGGCTCAGAATGGAGATTGGCGGTCGAGATTCGAGTTGATATCGTGAGTTTTTTGGTTAAAAAATTGCTGAATTGGTCCCCAGGAACTTCAAATTTGGAATCTGAAAGTTCTGGACTTTCAGCCTGAAACTTAAATTTCTACTCTGAAAATCTAAAAAAGGCAATTTTTTCCAGCCAACTCTCAAAACTGTGCTCCCTGTACAGTATCCAAGACGTCAACCTCCACATGTCGGGAATCGCTCTAACCCTTGCCGACGATCGTGTCGCCGAAGTCCGCCGTGAAGCTGTGATGCTCGTTTCAACGATCGTCGGAGCACTGGTTTCAGAAGAGTGGGAGTATCTGCAAGCTGAGCGAGACATTGTGAACGGACACGTGGATTTGAAGGGGAGCAAAAAGACTGGGTCAGGAGGATATACGTATCTGTCCGAGCAATTCGTCGATGATATCATCTCGAGCTTCGCCAAAACACAGAAATGGACCAGGAGACAGACGTGAGTTGGATTTTGAATAGAGAGAAACGCCGGTGGCAGTGGCCGAAGGTCCCACGGCGACAACTACCGTAACCTCGAGTTCCGTTTTCAAAATTGACAAAAATCAGCGAAAAACGAGAAAATAAATTCTGAAAATAACAAATGGTTGGGTTACTGTAGTTGTCGTTTTGGGACCTCCGATTTTTTGTACCAGAATAATAGAGAAAAAACATTAAAAATTAGTTATTTTGAATGGACAATCGGCTGAAAATGAGCTAAGAAATCGACTAATTTCCAGCATTGCTCATTTTATGCAAATTTTCAGATTCTGCTTCATATGCGCCCAAATCCTCCGTGACAAACAGTGCAACGGCATCCAGTTCCGCTACTTCTTCTCGGTTCCACTTCTGAATCTCGTTCATGACAGTAAGCCTTCTTTTGGGGTTCTTTGTTCTTGTTTCAGAGAATCCAGAACACCTTCTGAATATTCTAGAAAAAATTTTCAATTCCTATTTTGGATTTTCTGGGATCTAGAAGCATGATGAGCATTTTCATAATTCAATCCTTTTTCCAGAAGTGGCCAACGTTCGCCTAGCTTCGTGTGAAGCGATGAGTGTCTGGCGGAAGACCCTCATCGCGGCACGATCCTCGAGATCCCCCTACTCGTCACCATCATCAACAGAAGGAGCGTCGATTCGTCGTGACATCAATCTGGTGTCCGATATGATGGTTAAGCTAACCACCGATTCGGACATTGACGCTGCGTTCCTGGCGAAAAAGTGTCAAGGATTGACGGACGATCAGCAGCCGGTGGACGTGGAAGCTCGGACGAATCGAATGAGAGAACGAGAGCAGGCACAGTTTCAGAACGTTGTCATGCATGATGAGAAGGGAAATTTGGTGCGATGCGTTGGGAAAACGGTCATTGCGGTGGTGAGATTTTGAAATTTCGAACAAAATGGATCCTTGATTTTCTTGCAGATTAAAGAAGTGCCTGCCCCAAAAGCTCTGATCAGTGTCCCGGTTGAAACGGCGCCCGAAAAAGAGGCTCCTCTCCAGTCGATGGACGAATTTGACTGTGAAATCATGGTAATTTATGAAACAGAACAAACTCTCACCACCCGAGTCAGGCAATTTTACAGAATCAGACGGAGACGACGATCACGACGCCGCCAGAGGTTCGAGCGGAAGTTGTGCAGATTTCGGAGGATCAACAGCTGCAGGATAACACAGAAGTCGTGGATATGGAGATTGAGGAGGAAGAGGAAGAGACGCAGACATTGGCGGTTGAGATGGAGAAGGTTCAGGAGGAGAAGAAGGAAGTTGAGGAGGAGCAAAAGGAGAAGAAGACGACGTCGGAAGAGGTGGATGTGCCGATGGATCCAGCACCATCGCTACCACAGGTACAGTAATCTGGATTCCTAGATTCATGGTTTCTCAGATTCTTGAATTCATGGATACATGGATTCATGGGTTCATGGGTTCATGGGTTCATGGATGAATGGATTCATGAATTTCTAGATTCCTGAATTCTTTGATTCATGGATTCATGGATTTATGGATTCCTGGATATACAGATTCTAAGGATTCATGGGTTCATGAGTTCATGGATCCATGGGTTTATGGATTCATGGATCCGTGGATTCCTGAATTCATGGATTTCTAGATTCATGGATTTATGGGGTTCCTAGGTCCCTATATGCCTGGATTCTTAGATTCTTAGAATCCAATAGTTCCCATTTTTCAGTCTCCAAAATCCACGACGTCTGAATCCACGACTCCATCCACGCCAACCACAACAAACGTCATCGCCATTCCAATCACTGAGAATGCCACGTCACCAGAAGATTCTGACGCCTAGAAATCAGAAATTTCCAGAAAAATTCAGTTTTCCCCCCGTATTTTTTCAGTCAAAAATATTCAATTTTTTCTTTTTTTTCACCCATTTGTGCCTTTTTGTTTCCCCCATTCTCTGCAGAATTGCTCACAAATAGATTTTTTATTCCAATTCTTTTTTTTTTCAATATTATAATTATTATTATTAGGATTCCCATTTGTGATCGCTGGTTCGACACCAATTTCATTTTCTCTGTCTCTCGTCGTTTTTTAGGTTTTCTTGTCAAATTTTTTCCCCAATTTTGGCCACGCCCACCACTTTTTTAGGCTCCGCCCATAAGTCAAATTTTCTTTTTGGTATGTTTTATCATATTTCTCTTGTCCCTCCGTCCCTTTCTCTTCAACATACACTCGATTATAATATTTCTTTTGATTTGAAAATTTCACTTTTTTTCGCGTCCCTAAGCCCCGCCCACTTTTTTTCCAGAATCTTCTTTTTCTGATTATTTATAGACTCGGTTCTCTTTTTCTTATTCCCCTATTCTTTTGTGGTATCATATAAAACACATGTGAATTCAAAATAGTGTTTTTTTCTTTGAAAGAGTCATGGGTAAAAATATATAAATTACAAAAAAAATAAATTAGCCGCCGGCACACGTTTTGAAGACTGGACGTTGTCACTTGATGTATCTGAAATATCAAACTTTGTTCAGCTCGCCGAGAGCTTCAAAATAAGCCTAAACACGACTAGATTCTGAACGTTTTTTAGGATTACTGTAGTTTTCGTGGCGGGACCCAAGCGTCTTTATACTCATTCGAACCGGCAAAATGAGCTGATTCGTGATTTAGAAGTTAGAGAGTTCCAAAATTGTCTAAATTAGAGAAAAATAGCATAATCATTACTTCGATGCCCAATCAACGCGACCCGCGTTGGTCAGTTTGTTTGGCGACGTTGCTGAATGGTGATTTGGCGATGCACTTTTGTTATTTGCATTGGTCGGTTTTGCTCCGAAGTTTGGGATGTATCCTGGAAAATTTTGGTTTTTGTTAAATTTTTTTTTTTTTTTAATTTATTTTCTGGACATGGTTGAGAACGAGAGAAGGAAAATAGCATTCAAGGAGAAAGCTGGAAATCGGGCGAAAAAATTTCATTGATTTCTATTTTTTTTGTGGAAAATCGTTAGAAAATCGATTTAAAAAAACCGGAAAATTTCGTTTTTTTCAGGTTGCGGTAGCTTCCGTTCTGAGACCTTTTTGAAAAATTTCAAAAATTCCTTAGACAAAAAAATTTCTTGAGACGATTGAAAATAGCTGGTTTACAAAAATTTGAAATAATTTTTTTTCGAATCATTCTGAAATTTCTGTGTGTTTTTTTATGTGTTTTTGCCTAATAAACAATTTTTTAATGAAATTTTTCGTCAAAAGCCGACAAAAATTCGATTTTCAGTGCAATTTTTCAAAATAGGCGCGGCGCAACCGCGCTCCACTTAGAAAAGAGCTCCAAGCTGAATTTCGAGCGGTTTGGTTGTAAATTTTAAGTCTTTGCAAGCTTACAATCGCTTGACCCGCTTGAAATTAGCTATTCCTACAACTTTGGGATTTTTTTTTCAATAATTAAAAAATTTCAGAAAAACTTTTTAGCATTTTTTCAAAATTTCTGTCTGGTTTTTTCTGTGTTTTAGTCTAGTAAATAATTTGTTCAAATTTTTTTGTTGAAAAACGACAAAACCGATTTTTGGTGCATATTTTCAAAGAGAGGCGCCGCGCAACCGCGCTCTGCTGAGAAAGATGCAAAATTTCGCAATAAACCGTAATCATGCTCAAATGAAGAACAAAATGAAAGTCTTAAAGCAAAAAATCGAAAAAAAAACGGGCGAAAAGGAGTAGAAGAGGGTAGGTGTACCAACAAAACGACGAACCGTACGCATACTCGAACCTTGTCTGAACGGCTGTTCGTCCCTCTTTTTTGGCACTGAAATTTGTCGTTTTTGTAGTTCCCGTCAGTCCATTCGTTGTCATGATTTGGTTATGATGATGAGGGTCTTTTGATACTTGGCCTGAAACGAAAAACAGAAAAAATAATAGAGAGTGGAGGAGCGCATTTGCACATGTCAAACTGATTTGAAAGTAAAATGGTTTTTAAAATTACCTGGAACATATTTACTCTTTGACATATAAATCTCCTTCGCCGTCGGCTTTGTCTCATTCGTTTTCGATGGCGCCAACGGTTTCGGGTCGGGTCTGAAAAAATCAATAATCGATTTTTCACAAATTTCTCTTACTTCTCAAATATCGTATCTTTCAATGGTAAATTCCGGTTCGCATGACGTTCGATGACTTTTGGTGGTGGCTGTTGTGGAGAGACGTTTTCGGAACCAATGTAGTCCTTCTGAAAACAAATGAGTTCTGGTTAGAATTCTGTCAAAATTTGAGCCCAGTACGATTATTCTGAGCCTAGTTATAGCAAAAGTTCAGTAGAGCGCATTTGCTGAAACTGGTCCGATTGCTTTGAAGTTTTGGAAAATAGGTTTTTAGAATAAGAAGAGTATTCTCCAAAATTTTCAATGAGATTGAGCCCAAAGAATGAGAGGTATAGCAAAAGTTCAGTGGAGCGCGTTTGCTGAAAATGGTCGGATCGCTTTGAAAATTCGGAAAATAGTTTATCAGAGTACGCAAAGTCTACTGAGAAATTTTGAACGCGATTGAGGTCAAAAGAAGTGAGTTGCAGTGAAAGTTCAGCGGAGCGCAGTTGCAACAAATATCTTGAAAATTGCATGGAAAGTCTCTGACATCAATTCTAGCATAGTTCATAATTATGAGCGACATTAGAGCAAATAGAAGCGAGTTATAAGAAACGTTCGGTAGAGCGCGTTTGCAAGAAAATGGCTGAACCGCTAGATCACGGTTTCTAACAACACATATCGTTTATTTCAGAAGTTTACGCTTTTCTGAACTGTTCTAAAGGGGGTTAAAGCTAAAAGTTCAGTAGAGCGCACTTACCTTGGCCGCTTTTGCCGTCATCGCCTTGGTGTCGCTTTTGACAGAAGCCGCACTCATTTTTCGTGTGATTCCGGGTGCCGGCTGACTGACAACTGGTGCTCCGAGTTTTTCGGAAACTTGAAAATATTTATATTTCAAACTTTGATTGGCGTTCGGCCGTTTTTCCGGATTCCACAACATCATATCCATCATTAATTTCATTCCTTCCTTGCTAATTGTGTTGACAACCTGGAACTGCGACGTTATAGAACTGTGACACTTCAAAGAATGCAAACCTGCTCCATTGGAGTGGCTACCACCTGTTGAAACCGGAAGTTCATCGCCGATGCTAGCTGGTATCCCTCGGCCCAGTCGTCCTAAATTATTTTTTGATTTTTCTAGAATATTCAAATGTTCAGAATACCTTATTAGGAGTCCCTAGGATCGATATAATCTTGAATAACTGATCCATTTCGGATGTTCCAGGGAAGAGTGGGCGGAGCATGTAGAGCTCAGCCATAATACATCCGAGGGCCCAAATATCGATTGGAGAATTGTAAGAAGTGGATCGGAGCAAGATCTCTGGTGCTCGATACCATCTAGTTGACACGTAATCGGTGTACGGTGGCTTAGATCGAATCTCTCGGGCCAATCCGAAATCGGCGATTTTCACTAGCTCTGTTCCATTGCACATGATGTTTTCTGGTTTCATATCTCGATGGAAAAATCCGTTTTTGTGCATAAACGAGAGTCCTTGGAGCACTTGATAGATAATATTTCGGATTACTGACTCCGGAAAGTAACGGTCTCGGTCCTTCATCAATTCGTAGAGATTCTCTTGCATGAATTCGAAAACGAAGTACAGTATGTCATTTTCTCGGATCACCTGGAAACTTATTTTGGAAGTTTTTTGAAATTTCAACTTGAAATTAATTTTTACATATCTTGTGAAAATTTCATCAAAGTACCGCTATTTCGAAGGGAGTTATGACAAATGTTCGGTGGAGCGCGTTTGCAAAAAAATGGCTGAACCGGTAGATCACGGTTTGTAACAATAAGTATCTTGAAAGTTGCTCCACACTTATCTAACATCATTTCTAGACTAATTTACAATTATGCACGGCATCATAGGATTTAGAAGCAAGTTATGACAAAAGTTCAGTGGAGCGCATTTGCAAAAAACATCCTGAAAATTGCCTGGAGGTCTCTGACATCATTTCTATCATAGTTGACTATTTTGAATTACATTAGAGCCTCTAGAAGCAAGTTATAAGAAAAGTCCAGTGGAGCGCATTTGTAGAAACGACTTGAAAATTGGCTGGAAGGTCTCTAAGATCATTTCTAGATTAGTTTATAATAATGAGCATAGTTAGAGCTTCCAGAAGCAAGTTATAATAGAAGTTCGGTAGAGCGCATTTGCATTAAATACATTGAAAATTGGCTAGAAGATCTCTAACCTCATTTCTAGACTAGTTTATAATTATGAGCAAAATTAGAGCATCTAGAAGCGAGTTGTGACAAAAGTTCGGAAAAGCGTATTTGTAGCAACTATCTTGAAAATTGTCTGGAAGGTCTCTGACGTCATTTTTAGCTAAGTTGACAATTTTGAGCGACATTAGAGCATCTAGAAGCGAGTTATAAGAAAAAGTTCGATGGAGCGCATTTGCTTACACTTGCTCAAATTTACGGCAGAGTTCTCTGGCATAATTTCTAGCCTACAGTATGACTTTGACACAATTAAGACCACTTAATTCGGAGAAACACCAAAAGTGCAGTGGAGCGCACTTAACGTCATATTACATAATTTTTAGGTCAGAAAAAAATCAGATTATTTTCCTTACCTCTCTCAATTTAATAATATTCGGGTGATTCAATTTCTTCAGTGATTTCACTTCTCGAAGACTCATCGCCTCTTCCCAACTGTAGAACTTCTTTTTCATTCTGAAAAACATTTTGTTCTCTGGAGCGCATTTGCAACAGCAGAATTCAAAAGGCAAAATCTACTAAATTTTCGGTGGAGCGCATTTTCCGACCGTTGTCCAATGGAGCGCACTTACCGTTTGATAGCTACTCGATCGCCGGTATCGATTTTTTTGGCCAACATGACTTCGCCAAATGTTCCATCTCCTAGCCTTTTTGTCATCAGGTATCTGCAAGTTTTGAATTTTTGAATTTCCCGCCAAAACTTTTTGAAATCGCCAATAGAGCAAACTTTCCTCATTTGTATACTTTTCACCTGTCCTAAATATTTCGTAACAAGTAACAATGAATTAAGTAGGTCGAAATTGTGCAAATTCAAAAAAATTGGCGCCAAATTTGAAATTCAAAAAAATTCAAATTTACCGATCCGCAAGTTTTACGGCCGATGACATTGTTCAATGTAGTTTATGTAGTCTTTGTAGTCTTTGTAGTTTGCTCCGATTCAACCCGTTTCTAAAAAAAATTAGACGGGAAATTAGAAATTTTTGAAATTTCGAAAAAAAAAATTGAAAAAAGTTTTTTTTTTTAGAAATTTTGGAACTAAAAATTCAATTTTCAGACAAATTAAAGCCTAAAAATATGAAAACAAGAGGCGGGAAATTTGAAAATTTTAGAAAAATTCAAAAAAAAAACTTTTTTTGCGAAATTTTTTAATTTCCTCTAAAAGTCTAGTTGGCTGAAAAAGAGCCAATCGACATTTAAAAATAACATTTTGAGAGAAAAATAGGCTGAAAAGTAGCTGAAACTTATACAAAAAAATTAGCTGAAAATTGGCTTAAAATTCCAAAAAAAAGACAGAAAAATCTATAACCCAAGGGGTATTCAAGCAACAAATAAAGAAGAAAAAAAAAGAGGAAAAATAAGTGAGCTCTCACTCATAAAAAGAGAAAGTTGAGGAGCACACAACTCGGGTGGTGTGCTCACGGAGCAGCAGCAAAGAGTCTTTGGTGTCTATGGTAACGAGGAGGGGCTCACCGCTAGAGCAGCACTCACGGAAAACTAGAGAGAAAAAGAGCGAACATTTGGAATAGAAGAAGAAGAGGAAGGAATGGAGAAGAAGAAGAATAAGAAACGGGTTAGGGATATTTTGTGAAGGGAAAGAGCCCTCTGTCAGAGGTGGTTGTGCAAGGAGAAGAGTTGGAAAAGAATGAGGTAAGGTAGAGAAAATGGGCTTCTGCACTTTTCGAAGGAGAGCAGGTAATTAGAGAGGGTTCAGAAAAAGCATAAAAAAGAAAAAAAAAGTTGACCGGAGCCGGACTCGAACCAACACCTTGCTGGCAAAAGAATATCGCTCTAGCCAATACACCATGGCGCCACCATGAGGGGAATGGTGGAGATGACGTATATAGTCAGAAATAGTGAGTTCCCACAAACAAATCCACCTACTTACTCATAAGACTAAAATTTATGATGTCGTGAGAAAAAATACAAAAAAAGAAAGAAAACCAGAATTTTTGAATAACAGCTAATTCGAAAAAAGGCAAAAT